GAGTTACCCAAGAGCTCTCTTTACCGAACAATGCTTTTTTGTGGGAGATACAGAAAGGGGAAGTCCAACGCTTGCCATTTGCTTTCTTCTCTTTGTTGTTGCAAAGCACTTAGTAGTATTTTGAAGAAAAACAATTAGACCACATTCATTTATTTTTTTCTCTGAAGATGAAAAGAAAATCACAAGAACACCCACTGGAGATCTGGCTAAGTCTGACCATTTTCCCACACCCCTGACACCCAAGCCGCATCAGCTATGAGCTCTGGATTCTCCTTTGCAGAAGCAAGTAGAGGACTGAGGGCTAAGGGGCACTGGCTGTCCCTGGACAGGGACCTCTTCCCCCCAGCCGGCGTGGCTCAGTGGTTGCGTGTTGACCTATGAACCAGGAGGTCCGGGTTCGATTCCTGGTCAGGGCACATGCTGGATTGCGGGCTCAGGACCTAGTGCGGGGCATGCAGGAGGCAGCCAATCAATGACTCTCTCTCATCATTGATGTTTCTCTCTGTCTCCTTCTCCATTCCTCTCTGAAATCAATACAAATTAATTTTTTTTAAAAAAGAGACCTCTTCCAATAGCAGGTCCACCTAACCTCTAGCCTTTTACTCTGAAGACTCGGCCTTTCTCCTACTGCCATTCTCTCTGCTCCATAGCACGGCTAGAAGGAGCGCCTGGCATGGAGGGGCTGCCTCAGGACTGTGCCCCTTCTGGGCCCATTCTGTCTCTGACTCTGGGTACCACTAAATAGAATATATATATCCATGTCTGGCAGCTACAGCCCAAGACAGGAAGATACACTTGATCTTGGCCTGCTTGAAACATAGCAGCTATGACCTTCTTTGGCAACTGAGTAGGACATGAGCCACTGTGAATAGCGGAGCGCCCTTCGGGAGTGGGGTATGGTGTGGCGAGGAAAGCTTCCGACCGGGCAGGCTGCATCCTCCGGGCTGTCAATGGGTGCCAGCTGCCCTTTTGCTTCCCACCAGCCAGTAGCTATAAATACAGTCACATTTCCCACATACTGTATTTATGTTTCAGAAAATGTCTGCGTTGCATACGTAATGGAGGAGATATAATTATAATATTTCAAAACTGGCCAAATTTTGTGAAATATAAAATAACAGATGGCACCACACAATATTGGTGCGGTGCGCTTCATTTAAATCATAACTCGGGCCTGAAAATATTCCCATTGGGTACAGGGTGGTGAGGCGAGTGGATGTGCCGGGAGTTGGCGTTAAGGGGGTGGCGTGGTTCCCCCTCTTTGTCCTCTCCAAGTTTTTCTTTTTAGGGAAAGTGGAGTTAAGGCTAGACCTTTCTAGTAGCCTCAGCTGGGTCTAGGCAACCTACCGATTTTATGCTATACTTGGTGTTTCCCTGAGCTGGAGAACAGGAAGTGTGACTTCTAAACTCGAGCTAGCCTGGGACAGGGACAACCCATTAGGTACCAAACGCAGTTTTCGTGGTGATAGCGACACCCCACAGCTGTCTATTCTTACGTAAGCGCCTAGAAGCTGTTGCTAAAACTTATTTTTCTAAAATCTTTATTGTTGAAAGTATTACATATGTCCTCTTTTTACTCCACTGACTCTTTGGTTGATCTCTTCCTACCCACCCACCTTCTTCCTCCTTCACTCTGAGGTTCAACAGTCTGTTCCACTTTTTTATGTCTCTGGATCTATTTAGTTCATCAGTTTATTTGGTTCATTAAATTCTGCACATGAGTGAGATCATGTGATACTTACCTTTCTCTGATTGGCTTGTTTCGCTTAGCCTAGTACTCTCCAGATCCATCCATGCTGTTGCAAATGGTAAGAGTTCTTTCTTTTTTTACAGCTGCGTAGCAGTTCATTGTGTAAATGTACCACAGGTTTTGTAGCCACTCATCTATGCATGGGCACTTGGGCTGTTTCCACATCTTAGCTATTGTAAATTGCGCTCTGTGAACATAGGGGTGCATCCTTATTCCCCATCGTCAGCAGCAAGTGACACTAGATGGTCCTGTGCAGTGATGGTTGTGCAGCAGGGAGAATTTGCATGTGGTACCTGATTTTTTTTTTTTACTCTATTGCTTATTCCCACCTTCACCCAAAGCCAATAAAATGTGAGATCTCACTGATTCTCAAAAGGCCCGTGATACCCTGGAGTTTAAGTGTGAAACAGAGTAAGCTCTTAAGGGCAGGCTTGTCTAGAAGGACGGTCAGACTAAGAGACACCCACACCAGTTCCGCTGAACTCTTCTCATACCAACCAAATGGTCCATTGATTGGACTAGATCAGGATTCATATAGATGCTTACACACATTCCAACTTCTTCCCTGAAGAAGTCGCATTTGCCTCCTCTCTCCCTCCCTCCCGCCCCGAATCTCAATTTCTCTTTCCATTTCACTAAAGAAACCATAACATTGGGCAATAAGGTTCCAGACTCCTAAATTGTTCATGAACAATATAGACTAAGGAGCCATTAATGCCTGTGGCTGGCCCTCCAAGCCTGTTACGTGAAGACTTTATTGAATCATAGGGCAGCAGAATGAGCCCCGACCTGGGCTTCCGTAATGACTGAGATTTTCCTCTATGTGTCTGATAGGATTTCCCTGTCCCATGCCTTACTTGGAATGAGGTACCGAAAGCATGCTGGAAGGATTAGAGTGTTTACAGTGCTGCCTTCAAATCAATAACATGAGAGTCAAAAAGCAAAGGGATGGGGACCTTTTCCCCCTCCCTACTTGGGAGTCCATTCTGTGGGACTCTTCCCTCTCCCCACGTGGGAGTCTGTCTGTCCTTCAATAAATCTCCACCTTTGCTATACAACAATAAATAAATAAATAAAAGCAAAAGGACATCATTTTCCCTCTCTCTTGTCAGAGACAAACTCACAAATGAGGTCAGAATCAGACTTGAACTGTCTTCTCTCTATAGATGGAGACAGGCCATTCTCTTCTCGAATTTTCTTTTCTAACAGTCCCTCCGCCAGTGGTTCTCAACCTTCCTGATGCCGCGACCCTTTAATACAGTTCCTCATGTTGTGATGACCCCCAATTTCATTGTTACAAATTGAACATAATGAAAGCATAGTGATTCATCACAAAAACAATATGTAATTATATATGTGTTTTCTGATGGTCTTAGGCGACCCCTGTGAAAGGGTCGCAACCCACAGGTTGAGAACCTCTGCGACTAAGCAAACGTGAGCTTATCCTGTTGTGCTACGATGATGTACAAGGGAAAAAGAAACTCCTCTACCTGTGCTAGTGCCAGGATGTGTTCTCCGGGACGGTGTGGAGGGACTGAGAGGGTTATACCCTGGCCCCTTGAGCTCCAGGGAAGAAGAGGGCTGACTCCTGTTTGAGGACAAGCTGGGGGAGGCCATGGCTGTGGTCTGCCTTGTCTATATCCACCTGGGAAGCACCAACTTACTACAAAGAGTAACAATTACCAGTGTATTCTGTATTTACCATTCTGAAAGAAATGAGTTTCTGTAGCTCTTGCTCATCAAGGGTTACTTGGGAGTCTGCATGTTAGGAAATCACTGATCTTTGACCTGGTATGGTCACTCTCAGGAGCTTTACCCTAGAGAAAGACAAGCTGCTCCTATAGTCCTAGTGGATAGAATAGCATCGGGTGGGGAAAACAGATATCAGCTCCACATGGAAAAGAACATTCTGATAATCTGAGTACAACGTTAAAAAAAATTGCTACCTTAGGCCAGTGGTCAGCAAACCGTGGTTTGTGAGCCACATGCGGCTCTTTGGTCCCTTGAGTGTGGCTCTTTCACAAAATACCACATGTGGGCGCGCACGTACAGTGCAAAGTTGACTTAAAACTTTAAGTAAAGTTTTTAAAGTTAATTTTAGGGAACGTTGTGGAGTGAAAGAAGGTGTAGTGTCGAGGATTGAGAAAGGTTATGTTGAGATGGTTTGGACATATAGAGGACGAACGAAAGGAGATAGTTGGAAGGGGTCTACCTCAGCGAACGTACCTCAATCAGAATGAGGACGTTTTTAGCGAAGGCCAGTTTAAGAGTACCCAGATTAAGTTAATAGCAATGTGCCTACCTATATAGTTTAAGTTTAAAAAATTTGGCTCTCAAAAGAAATTTCAATCGTTGTACTGTCGATATTTGGCTCTGTTGACTAATGAGTTTGCCGACCACTGCCTTAGGCGGTAGCACATTCCCTATTCATGGAGGAATCTAAGTAAAGACTGGGTGGCCACTGGGGGGTGATATGGTAGAAGGAATTCAGGACCTTGCTTCTAGAAGTGTGGGCCCAGAATGAGAAGCATCCGTACCACCTGGAAGCCTGTGATACATGCAGACGGCCAGGCCCCACCTAAGACCCCTGGATCAGCATTTGCATTTTGCTAGGATCCCCTAAATGACCTGTAGAGTCGAAGGAGCACTGTTGGATAGGATTTTGCCGGGTGTTCAAATATGTTTCTAAGTTGATTGTGTGGGGCACGCGTGTTTTACCATGAACATGGGACTTCTTTTGGTGCTCAGCGCCCAATCCCTTAGAAACAGCACCTACCAGGAGGTTGTGAAGAGAATCCCAAAGACTCTTTCACTCAGATATGGTTTTAATGTAGTGGAATGAGGGAGTTTTCCTTCTCTTCTGTCCTCCACTCTAATCTACCAAGTGTGCTAAGATTTATGTCACATGTTATTCCTCGGAGTTCAAACATTGAAGGACCCCATGAAAGTGATAACATCTTAACTAGATGGTGTAGTGCTTTAAGCCATTATTACCAATTAAGCTATTGATGCTAATTAGCACATCAGTTTGCTATCAGAGAGCAGGGCTTATCATCTTTGTATTCCTACTACTTAGTATGTTGCCTGACAAATATCAATATCTAATTTATTTTCTATAATAGCTCACTTCAAAAAAAAAGGGGGGATTTGGGGTGGCATTACCCGGCCCAATAAGTACATGCGGAACTGGAATGATTCAGGCTCTGTGGGAATAAGTCAAGGATCAGATGGACAGAGAGATTTTCCCCAGTGGAATTTCTGGGCATAAGGGGTCCCAGGGGTGGTGGGTGGAGGGACTGGGGGTGCATATTGACTCTTCCCCACGATGCATGTATTTGCTTAGTGAGCCACACAGTGCATGCTCTCCCACTGCACTCAGCCTCCTTGCCTTTCTCATAATGGACTCTAGAACTTGGATTATGTGTCAAGGTTCACACATTTCAATGTGATATTTTAATGTGGCTAAGATCATGGGCTCTGAAGCCAAAATACGTGTGTTTCAATCTTGGCGATGTCCCTTATTAGTTGAGTAATAGTCTTGGGCACATTACTCAACCTCTTTAATCCTCAGTGTCTTCATCTGTAAAATAAGGACAATACAGTGGGAACAACCCATAGTGTTGTTGTGAGGATAAAATGATTTAATGTGCTGGGCTTTGCACCATGCCTACCCACATTAAGTGGTAACCAGATCCTCTTGTCTTTGCCATGTGCTCATTTTCTGGGGCATGTTTCCCATGCTATCCACACTTGCATTTAAATATAGTCACATACTTACTAGCCTCGGAATTTCACAGACCATCTCATGACTTCTCAGTACCACTGACTGATTTCTGATTCTACATTTCCCTCTGGCTGGCTGTGTGCTCCTTGCTCCAGATGTCACCACCATTCTTCCCCTGTAGACGGAAATAGTTTCTCAGGCACTCTTCATTTGTCTAAGGGTGTGAACGACCCACGGTCCCTCATAAGAAAGGGACAAGGCTAGAGGTATTTCGCTTAATTTTCATTGCCTTTTGCTCTCCAGGAAGTCTTCAGGCATAAAAACAAGATGCTAAAGACGGAATTAAGTGGAATAAGTTATGACCAAGCTCTTCGCACAATCTGCAAATAGAATTCTGTCCACACAGAAACACTCCTGTTTGTAAAGGAAGGCGGGTGAGGAAACTAGGAAGAAGAATGACACCGCCCCCTTATTTTTTTTTTTAAAGGGAGATGAACTTGTTCAGCAAGGAGACCAAGGAGTATATGCACATTATTTCACCTTTCCATACCTCTGCAGGAACGCTTCGAAGGAGAGGATCACACATCCCTCAAATCTTCTTAAGAAGCAAGCACCTTGGAAACATATAATTAGGGTTCAGTGTCTCAGGCTGGGTGCCCTGGGAGCATTTGCCAGTTTCCCCACTAATTTCCGCCTTCCTTTCCAGGATCCTATCTGGGTACCATATTGCATTTAGTCAGCACATCCCTTCAGTCTCCTCTGGTCTGTGTCCAACACAGAAATCCAATTTTGTCAACAGATATCACCACGGGCCTGGGGGGAAGTGCTGCCCACTTCTCTGTTATTTTACAATTGCTCATTGAGTTCCTACTATGTGAGACAAGTGAAAAATAATGAGTTGACTCACTGAGGGTGGTTACAGATAGGAAGAAAAATAATGACTATACACCGTGTGATATGTACAGCTACAGAAAATATAGCATGTGCGATCATAACCCTGAAAAGAAGGGATGGCTACGGCGCTGGATATCCTTGCCAGGAAAACACAATGACCCAATTCATATTTCCTGGTAGAGGGCTTATTGGGACGGACACCGTGGTCAGATGAATCAATTAACTTGGGATGTTCATTTATAGAAGAGATTGTGTTTCAGCACAGTTCTAAGAGAAAAAAATGTGAGCATTGTTGGCTGCTATGAATCCATGATTCTCCAAAGAGAGCCTGGTGGAGGCGGAGGGAATTGTATACAGAGCCACGCTTTTCCAAACCAGCTGTGAACTACAGCCTTGGGGTTCTCTTGGCACTGAGATCTACACTGGGGTCCAGAGAGATAAATGACCACTCTATCTTTTCCTCTGCCTTTTCATAACAGATTTCTTGAAAAGTTGCCTGGATGTGCCTTCTCCCTTTTTCTCACTTTCCACTTAACCCCCAACCCATAGCCATTTGGCTTCGGCCCCCTATTTTCTCTACAAAGGAATGTTTACCAAGGCCATGAATGACCTCCCTGACAATAATTGAAGAGAAAGATGTAAAAGTCGTCTTACCCCAATCCTTGGTAACCTTCTGCATCGTTGATCACTCCCTCCTCGCAGACTCTTTCTTCTCTTGGCCTGTGGAATATATGCATATCCTAATCTGCCTCTCCCACCCCCACCCTTGTCCTTGGTTAGTCCTCCTTCAGCCAGGACATTGAAACCTACACTTTCAGACTCAGTTCTAGATCCTCTTCTCCCTGAATAATTTTCCCGAGATTATTTCCGTGATTGCTTCAATTACGGTTGGGGTTAAAAGGCACCATGGATCATCTCTCTCTCCCACGGAGGTCTGAACCCACGGAGAAGTCCAAAGTCAAACAGGCATTTAACTATCCACTTTATTATGGGGAAAGCTGAATTGCAGAATGCAGTCTTGATTCCAGTCCAAAACGAGCTTCTCACTTAATGCCCTCCTTTCTCCCAATTGGTTTTATTCACTCAGCCACAGGCAGAATAATTTGTCAACTGTAGCTGTAGAGACAGGACCTGCCAGGGGGCTTGGAGCGGAAGGAACAGAAAGAAGAACACACATGAACCACAGCTAGTCCTTTTAAGGGAAAAGTGGGGGTGGAGGGAGAAAGAGAGAGAGAGAATCAATTAATGAATGTATATGCACAGAGACAGGTAATGCATTAACCCTGCCCAGTAAAGGAACAAGGACACAGACATGTCAGACCTATGTCATCGTTCTGATCAGATTAATCAATCTTATTTCTCGGGGTGTGTGTGTTGGGGAGGCGGGTAGTGAGAGGTAAAACAGAAAGAGCAGATTCTTTCCCAGCCCTTTTCCTGAGGAAACTGAAATTACAGGAACCCGAAGAAACGCAGAGAAAGAGAAAGATGACTCTACGAATCACCACCTCCACGAAGATCACTCACAAATCTTCACTCTTAGTCAAACGCTCTCCTCTGAGCTGCAGGTTTGTCTATTCCATTTCTTAGCTGACATCTGCACTTGGGTGCCTCAAAGCCATTGTAGTTCAACCTCCCCCCAAAGAAGAATATCGTAACCACGCACTGAGCTATCACTGTGTGCCGGGCACTGTGCTTACAGCTTTATGTTATTATCTCATCTGATCTTTATATCAACTCCAGGAAGTAGGTGGTGATCATTAATAAGATTAAGCGTGGAGAGTTTCAGGCCACACTTTTGGTAAACAGCGGATGTGGGACTAGAACCCAGGTAGTCCGACTCCAGAACTACTAGCTGGCATATTACACTGCTCTACCCACCCAGCCCAGAGAACTGCTCTCTTAAACTAGGTCTCAATCCAGTGAATCCTTTCTCAGTCATGACATTATGTCCATGAAGAAACAGAAGCAGGAACTAAGAAATTGGTCTTGGTGCCTCCCCTTACCTTATCCTCATCTCCACCAAACCCTGTGGATCCTGTCTCCTAAAAATCTCTACCGTCCTTTGGAGGTCAAACGACCCTTTCACAGGGGTCGCCTAAGACCATCGGAAAACACATATAGCATGTCAGATATTTACATTATGATTCATAACAGTAGCAAAATTACAGTTATGAAGTAGCAACAAAAATAATTTTATGGTTGGGGATCACCACAACATGAGGAAGTGTATTAAAGGGTCGTGGCATTAGGAAGGTTGAGAACCACTGCTGTAGTGCTTTAGATAAGTCTCCTCCCCTTCCTGCTGGGCCATTGCAGTGCACTTCACACAGGCCACATCCACGCCTGCTCCCTTCCTACCCACTCAGCATGCTGCCTGCAGTGATCATGCTCCTCCCCTCCCCCCAAATTAGAAGTCTCCCCTAGCTCCCATTACTCCTGGGATGGAGGCAAAGGTGCTTGGTAGAGTCTGCTTGGCCATCCTCTCCTCCTTCAGACACATCTGCCTCACTGTCCCACTCCTGTCCTATGCTCTTGCCACCGGGGTCTTCTTTCAGTGCCTTAAACAAGCAGTCATTTCCCACGTGTGCTGTTTCCTCTGCCCGGACATTCCCTATCTGCCCGGACACCCCGTCTCTGCCCTAACCTAATTAACTTCTCCTTCTTCAGATCTCAGCTGTGATACCTCCTCCCCAGGGAAGCCTTCCCTGACCAGTCACACCTCCTAATTCTCCTCTTTAATCCCATGCACCTCCATTTCAAGGCAATCATCACAATTATAATGACATCTACGTGTGATTATTTACCCAAAGACTCTGCCTACCCCCAGAGTTTAAAGTAAGGAGGCCGGAGGTCCTGTCTGGTATTGCTTTCCATTGTATTTCAAGTGCCTGGTACAGGTCTACCACAAGATAATCACTCAATAAATGCTGCTTGGATTCACTCATAATGACGGTAATAGTTGACCTCAGTCGGGACACTTTCTAGATGCCAGGCGCTATTTTCAGTGCTGTACTCATTTTGTCATTCATTTCTCATGATGGTATGGAGAGAGGGCTACTTTGCTTGTCTCCATTTTATAGATGAGAAGACTGAGGGTGGGAGAGCCATGACCCAAAACCTGATCTATCCTCCTGATCTACTTGGTGTTTGGTATGAGGCTGAGCTGCCTGTGCAGCACGGATTGCTGGGCCATCCCTTTAAGAGCTTGAAAGAAGAAACCAAACCTCGAGTTACTCGGGAAATGGCTTAGCTGTCTACTACCCATATATTTTAAGTGTAACTTCACTTGACTGAGACGAACGTTATTTGTGACTATGTTAAGTGTAAGTTTCCATATTTCTGATGTGTTAAATGGAACAGGACAATGAAAGAACGCAGACACCACAGAGTCAAGGACAAAGTGCCCTGGGCATGCCACGGGGAGCACTCCGGGACAAGAGCGTGGGGACAGGCGGGCAGGCAGGAGGGAGACACATCAGGACTTTAAGGAGTGCAGAGTCTAAGGTTCAGGCAAGAGAGCGGGAACTCTCCTCTGTAGTTTTCTTCAAGCCCGGCCCCGGGAGGAGAAACGTCTCATCCACATGGCAGGTGGGAGAACGTCTGGTGGGGAGTGTGGAGATGAGATCCTGGAAGGCAGGCTGCTCCAGGGCACTGAGGGGGTGGAGAGGGGGAATTTTCACCTGGAATATGTTGCAGGAGCTTTCCAACTGGCAAGGTGCAGGACGGGCCTGAGATGGAGGCTTGGAAATTAATAAGCCAGGTTGTTGCAGGACCAGTAATGACAACAGCTGCCCTTGACTGAGTCCTTAAGCAACAGGCTAAGGGCTTTCCAGACTCTCTTATTCCTCATGACCACCCTGCCAGGGGGATGTTCTTACCTTAATTCATCAGTTAAGGAAAGCGAGCCCTAACCTGTGTGGCTCAGTGGATAGAGCATCAGCCTGTGGACTGAAGGGTCCTAGGTTCCATTCCCGCCAAGGGCATGTACCTTGGCTGTGGGCTCAATCCCCAGTAGGGATGTGCAGAAGGCAGCTGATGGATGTTTCTCTCTCATCAATGTTTCTAACCCTCTATCCTTCTCCCTTCCACTTTGTAAAATTAATAAAAATATATTGGAGGGAAAAAAAAAGGCAGGCAAGACTCAGAGAGGGCAGGGGCTTGTCTAGGGTCACACAGTGAGACTCCAGCCATGCCTGTCTGATCCCTAAGGCGCGTTGCTATCTGCCCTTTGCCTCCCAGAGTATGGTGTGTGGCCCATGCTGCAAACATGATTCTGTACAAAGCCTGGCATGCTCACTCATTCATGACTGCGTCATGCATTCATGTAATCAGATCTACTGCATGCCCCCTGAAGACCGAGGCTCGGGTGCAGACAGATAGATCAAGGCCCCAGCCCCAGAGACTCAAGAAACACAGTGGTGATGCCAGAACCAAACACAGGTTTTCTGTTCCCTGGTAACATTACAGGCTGGGATCTGACAGTTTTTTCCCAGGGAATTACCACAAAGCAAGGAGCCTGCCCAGGGCAAGAAACCTACCTGTGGTCTCTTTTCATCCGCAATTAGAAAACCTGAGATTCCACGCTCACCGTCACCCAGTGACATTTCCACGTCTGTGCCACGCAGAAACTCTCAAGATCTCTTGACTCACCTTAGTTCCCTTCCCACCCAGCACTCCCTGGCCTCTCCTGGGAGGAGGGCGGGCTCTCCCAGCACAGGGCTTGCTTCTAAATGCCTTGTTCTCCCAAAGCCAAAATCGATACCCAGTCCTGCTGGCTTTCATCCTGTGGAACCACATGCTTCGCTGCCTCCCACGCCCTCCTGCTCTCATCTCTTTCAGCCCCTGGGGAAACAGGACTCTTCTGTACACCATCATTCACATGTGAGAGTCCCTCGGACAAAATTTCGACTTCAGAGGCGAGATGAAGCATTATAGAAAATAAGCTAAAGTTTTCTTCTTTATTTATTTTTGAAGAGATGCATTTGTTTACTGTTGTTGTTGTTTTTAGTTTTTAAAAAATTTTACTGAATTTTGGAGAGACATTGGTTAATAAAATGATGTAGGATTCAGGTATACAATGCTATGACACGTCACCTGAAAAATTGTATTGTGTGCACCGTTTGTTTGGTTTATTCTGTGGCTGTGGTATTTTGAACAGGTTTCTCTCCCACTTGAATATTCCAGTGAAGATTTTACTCTTTCATTTCTGCATCTGTGTCCTGGGAAATGAGCTCCGTGTCACTCTGCAGACCCTCCTGGGGACTCCCTCCTTCCCCAGCCCGACTGACGTGCGCCGAACGGGCACTGGGAGCTGCTCTCTTCATGTTCCCTGGTCCCTCGGTCTGCGTGTGCTCCTGAAGGTCACACAGGACTTTTCACCTCCCCTGTCTCATTTTCCAAGTTTCCTGGAATGTGAACATCCTCTCGGGAGGACAGTATTATCTGCAACTTATTATAGAAATGTAATGAAAGCTTCCTGACCTGCATGCTGAGATGGCCAGATGGGTAATGTTGAGCCCTTGCAAAATGAGCTCTTTTACCATTTAGCTTCCATTGGGGGCGGGGAGGGAGGTTGGGAGGGAGTTTGATAATTTCCAAGACTCTGATGGTGTTTTCTTGGGTCAGGATAAAGGCATTGGCTGTTTTCTAGCTTATGCTAATTACACACGGGGAGTGAAAGAAAGAGAGAAAATCTACCCCATGGGGCGGGCGAGGCCACGGCCTGCAGCCCGGGAAGGTCATGGAGATGAGTGAGGTGGCCTTGTGGGGCCTGCACGTTGCTCCCCTGTCTAAAGGCCCAGTTTCATCTTCTGCTGACTTTTTCAAGAGGAATTAAAATCTGGGTGAGCGGATGCTTAATTACTGGCAAGATCCTCCATTCAAAAGTACTGTTGCCAGTCAGAGAAAGACAGGTATCCCGTGATCTCGCTCATATGTGGAATCTAATGAACCAAATAAACTGATGAACAATTAGATCCAGAGACACAGAAGCGTGGAACAGACTGTGGAACCTCAGAGGGAAGGCGGGGAAGGGGCGGGGAGGAGGGGGGGTTTGGGAAGAGATCAACCTAAGACCTGTATGCATATGTGCATAACCCATGGACAGACAATAGGGGGTGAAGGCTTGGGGCAGGGGTGGGGAGGGCAGGCTAGAAGGGGTCAATGGGGGGAAAAGGAGACATATGTAATACTTTCAACAATAAAGATATTTTAAAAAGTACTGTTGGACATAGAAGATGTGTCTGAGGGTCCGATTTGGCTTCAGGCAGCCAGTTTGTGACCTGGCCCACACTATTCCCAAGGAAAGCCATTGGAATTTGTGGATCTGTGTCCCTGAACTTCTTCCCTGGGAGGCAGTTGGAGAGGGTGCTAAGACTTCCAGGGAGAGTGCCGCCGGTGAAGGGACTGTTTCCTCTTTGCTATGGAGAGCAGGACGCTGGCCTCACAAGGCCCTGTGCTCAGAGGTTGTGGCCATACAGTCGTGGTGTAGAGATGAGGAGCCAACCAGATCCTGCACCACCTGCCCTGCTCGACCTTGTGTTCCTCAGCTCTGAGCGCTGACACTGGGGGCTCCTGGCAAAAGGGCTGCATGAGCCGAGTTCCACCTCAAAACACTGTCCTGTTGGTGGTGTGAGAATAAACAGGTAATCTTTTCTGTCAAAGAAGGGAGCTTAGGCACCCACCATTTTTGGCTCATGTGACTTGCACATCCCCTGAGGGCTGCCATTTTGAAATGGCAAAGGTCAACCCCTTCCTTTAAATTAGCCAATCACACAAGGGTGTGAGCCTAAGCTCTGACCAATCAAGAGTGAGGGACAGATCAGGGATAAAAAGCAGAGGGGATTAGAGGAGGTCAAGGTCATCGAAATGTGTTGACTTGACTGCCATCCTTGCTCCAGGGTTGCTCGGTGGAGGGCCGGTTCTCCTGGTGAATGGAGAACCTCTTGTTAGTGGTGGAAGTAGAGAGACCTACTTGGTCTGTGTTGAAGCTAAAACAAGGAGCTCAAATCCTCTGGAAACTGCCCCAAACACTACCCATACAGAATCTACCTAACCCCAGCCTCTGCTCTCTCGTTTCCCATCAGCTCTGTATTCCAGGCACGACAAAGATTTGGGGGAGAATTGCTCATTCCAGGGGGTACCCAGCATGCCCCCCAGCAAAAAGAAAGCAGGCAAGCTCTATCCCCAACTTCCGCTTTGAGGATGCAGCCCTCCGAGCAGGGCATCGTGAAGTGTGAACATCCTAACTTTCAAGTCTTTAGTTTCACTGAACTTCGGGGGCCTCCCAGGCTCTTACATCCTGCAAGGCAATATTGAAAGCACAAGCGAGTGTGTGAAACACAGGTACCCAGTGAAGCCTGAAGAATCTAATTTCGCAGGAGGGCATCTTCAACAGGCCCGGCGGTTCTGCTGGGAAGTAAGCCATCCCGCTGCTGGGCAGGCAAATGGGCTTCATTTCCATCCGGAGCCATCCGCAATTTCCAGCCCAAAGAGATGGGGCCCGAGCGGGTTTTCCCATCATCATTACGGTCCAGTGTCTCCATTTGAAAAGCTGTGCGTGTGGACTAGACCGGAACAGGGATTATTTCAAATACTGTGCCTGTTGATGTCATGTAAATGGCCCCAATACCTTTGGCTAATAGTAAGCGCGTGCTTAGTGAATCACACAGATTTGGCCGGGCCTGGAGAATTTAATAGCAGCAGCAACAAGAATATGGGGCCTTGGTATGGCTGGTTCTCACTCTCCTAGGGTTTCCCCATTTGATCCCCGTGTGGTCCCTCCCTTTCCTGGGAAACATAGAGCAGGCCTTCAGGCCATGCTGCCTCCCACAATGATCCAGTCTTCCCTGTGGACCCAGCCATGTGCCCTGCTAATGGGTGCTCAGTGATGGCTGATCGTCCAAAGCTCAGTAAATGTTACTTAAAATTAAGCGAACATGGCCCGCGATTAGATGCTGACTTAATTTTCCACATGGAAAGAACCATATTGAGGTGAAATGATACCTCTTAGTTCCTCTGCCACTTCACCACCTAGAGGGTGAGCTCCCAGACCCCAGAGATGCCAGGGAGGAGCACAGCCTGTCTGCCCGCCCCCACCCCCCACCCCCACCCCACCAGCTCTGGGAGAGATTCTGGGTGTAGCTCTTTAAAGAATGGGCGCACCCCCAGCACCCAGTACTGATTGCTCACAGAGATGAATGTGGAATCAAGTGTCTCACAGCTGGAAAATGCAAGAACCTAGATTGTAACCTGTGTGTATAATTCCTAGTCTTATGCTATATTTTTAATTATGCAAATCTTTTTTCATTGTTGACATTGTTACAGATGTCCCCCATTTCCCTCCAATTCGTCCCCCTCTACCCCAACCCTCCTCCCACCTACAGGCCTTCACCACATTAT